GTGTGATAAAGTAAGGGTGTACTTACTTACTTACTTACTTACATTTGACTGATCTGTTTTTTTTTTTATTTAAATTGTGAAAATGACTACAAAATAATTTTTTGTGTCATTTGATAGTGTATCAACTTTATTAATATGCACTGTTTTAAAGAGGATAAAATGTTTGCTTGTCCAAATATGCAAAAACAAACAATTTCCTTGGAGTGTACTTATTTTTTCACATGACTCAATGCACCATTACTGTGGCTGAACATGACTCATTATCCTGCTTTCTATAGCTCTCTAGACTATTTGCCATCCTCAGTGTAGCATGCCTCTGATATTTCTGTATTAACTTTCTATACAAAATCCTAATTTAAGTCTATTCAGACTCAAACATTTTTAACCTCTGAAATCAGCTTCATCAAGCAAGAGTCCTGAACTCTAGCCCAATTTATTTTACATGTCAAAAATATTGCTATATTTTGTTAAAAAAAATTATAGCAGTCCCTCCAGGATTTTGTGATATTGAAATTGCAGAAATTAATGGAAAAATTAAGGAAACTCTTCAAATTAAGGAAATTTTTCAAAAATACCACAGATTTTCTGCAGATTTGGGCAAAGATGCATCATGTGATGTCATCACAAACATACATTCAGTCAAAGTCTTCTTCGATTCATGCGCATTGAGCATGAGTACAGCTAAAAGGTCTCATTTACCAACAAACATCACTGCGAAAGACCATGCAAAACAATTTAGTGCAATTGAAATTTCACCGATTTAAGTAATTTTCCACAAAAAAGCACAAAAAACTCCCAAGTTTGCATTGTTGCACAAATTTGGAAAAAAAACACAGCAAAAACAAACATTTTTGGATGCAACCATTTGTACAGACTGTCTAATGTTGATAACCAAAATGAGAAAATATTGATTAGGCCTGAATATTCAATTTTTTTTCTTGGTTTGGTCACACTGGAAGAATGTCTTTTCCCCTTTTTAGTCATGGTATTCCATTAATTTTTCAATAAGTGATATATAGAAAAGATTAAAAATGCATACAACATGCAATTTTATGCACTAAAAAACATCCAAAGAAGCTGGATATATTTAAATAAATAATTTATGCATGAAAGGTTTAAATCGAAAGCATATTTGCAATATAGTCTATCTGGAATTATGCATAGTGACCGTAGGAACATTGTTTAGGATTACACTAGAGGTCATATCTTTTTTCTGTGGTAAGTAAAATCATGCAACTCAAAATTACTTGACTAAATACAAGACCCATAAATGGCGTGCACGTGAAATATTGTTTTTGGACTTTGTTCCTTCAGGCTAGGGAGCTCTACATGACAGCTAGAGGGAAATCAGTCTCTTCAAAAATATCTTCATTTCCTCTTAGAGCAACTTCTCCCTTAAGTCTGTGTTGTGGTATTTCTCAAAGGCACACAAGTTCCTTACATAACATGAAAGTACATATAATTTTTTTTCCTCATGTCCTTTTAGCTATTTTGCGTTATACATTCATTTACTTCTGTTCAAATCTGTATAACCTGTACTTTGTACTTTTTTTGTTTTGTTTGTTTTTACCAACAATGACTGATTTTAGCAAACTCTTACACCAATAGGAGTTTCCTTGTTACAATTCTCACTCATTCATTTAGTCATGCATTCATTTGTTTCTTTGTTTTGTTCATTTGTTTATTTTTCTTCTGCTGCACCTGGTGGGGGGTTGCAGTGGCAACAGGGTGAAAAGGTCAGTACAGGCTTCTCTATCCCCAATCACAGATTCTAAATACTCCTGGGAGATCCCCAGATGTTCCATAATCTAGGAGATCTAATCCCTCCAGCAGGTCCTGGGTCAGCCCTGGGATAGCTCTTCAGTAGGATATGCCTGATATATCACACCCTTCATGTCTGACACACACCCTAAACAGTTTTGACTTAGGGGCCTTTCACACTGGCAGTTTGGTCTGAAACAGAGCACGGTTTGCATAAAAAATTGGTAATGCGAAAGCTCTCATGTGGACTGACCAGGAAGCGCACCACGGTAACGAACCCGAGACACCTGTAGTAGGTGGTCTGAGTTCGATTGCACTGGAACTGTGCCACGGTTCCTGTGATTGCGAATGCAACTTGTACACGGGTCCGCATTTTTTCAGGAAATAAAGTGACCTGCACATGAGTTTTAGCTGATGGCAACATGCTAGTGCCTTGCATGGCAGCTCTGCTACCATTGGTGTGTGAGTGTGTGTGAATGGGTGAATGAGACACAGTGTAAAGCGCTTTGGATAAAAGCGCTATATAAGTGCACATTTACCATTTACCAACATTTTTACATTTCTGATATCACGTGTACCGGCAGGAGAACATTGAGGGACACACAAGAGGTCCACTGTTACACATAATAGCACCAAAATAAGAAAAAAACCTGAAAATATGGTGAGTCGAGTTGTGTTCTCCATGCGCATTTGTGATGAAATAAGATAAGCGCAAATGCACTGGAGTTCAATAGACTGAAGTGAGTCTCAAACCAGACCAGCGGTGTGGGGCACAAGGAACAATCGCAGTTGGATTCGGACTGCAGCAGTGAAAACCACCTTAAGGCCAACTCTCATTGCACTCATACAGATACAATTGCACAAAGTAGTGATCCAGATACCCTGTACTCCTGTGTTCTCCCGGGTGGCTGTATATATATATATATAACAACAAGAAAATTCAGAAAAGCGCATTTCAAAAATTTTATAAATTGATTTGCATTTTAATGAGGGAAATAAGTATTTGACCCCTCTGCAAAACATGACTTAGTACTTGGTGGCAAAACCCTTGTTGGCAATCACAGAGGTTAGACGTTTCTTGTAGTTGGCCACCAGGTTTGCACACACCTCAGGAGGGATTTTGTCCCACTCCTCTTTGCAGATTTTCTCCAAGTCATTAAGGTTTCGAGGCTGACGTTTGGCAACTCGAACCTTCAGCTCCCTCCACAGATTTTCTATGGGATTAAGGTCTGGAGACTGGCTAGGCCACTCCAGGACCTTAATGTGCTTCTTCTTGAGCCACTCCTTTGTTGCCTTGGCCGTGTGTTTTGGGTCATTGTCATACTGGAATACCCATCCACGACCCATTTTCGATGATTTTACGGTACAGGGCCCCGTCCATCGTCCCTTTTGATGCGGTGAAGTTATCCTGTCCCCTTAGCAGAAAAACACCCCCAAAGCATAATGTTTCCACCTCCATGTTTTGACAGTGGGGATGGTGTACTTGGGGTCATAGGCAGCATTCCTCCTCCTCCAAACACGGCGAGTTGAGTTGATGCCAAAGAGCTCCATTTTGGTCTCGTCTGACCAGAACACTTTCACACAGTTGTCCTCTGAATCATTCAGATGTTCATTGGCAAACTTCAGACGGGCATGTATATGTTCTTTCTTGAGTAGGGGGACCTTGTGGGCGCTGCAGGATTTCAGTCCTTCACGGCGTAGTGTGTTACCAATTGTTTTCTTGGTGACTATGGTCCCAGCTGCCTTGAGATCATTGACAAGATGCTCCTGTGTAGTTCTGGGCTGATTCCTCACTGTTCTCATGATCATTGCAACTCCACGAGGTGAGATCTAGCATGGAGCCCCAGGCCGAGGGAGATTGACAGTTCTTTTGTGTTTCTTCCATTTGCGAATAATCGCACCAACTGTTGTTACCTTCTCACCAAGCTGCTTGGCAATGGTCTTTTAGCCCATTCCAGACTTGTGTAGGTCTACAATCTTGTCCCTGACATCCTTGGAGAGCTCCTTGGTTTTGGCCATGGTGGAGAGTTTGAAATCTGATTGATTGCTTCTGTGGACAGGTGTCTTTTATACAGTTAACAAGCTGAGATTAGGAGCACTCCCTTTAAGCTCATTACCTGTATAAAAGACACCTGGGAGCCAGAAATCTTTCTGATTGAGAGGGGGTCAAATACTTATTTCCCTCATTAAAATGCAAATCAATTTATAACATTTTTGTTAAAAACATGCGTTTTTCTGGATTTTCGTGTTGTTATTTTGTCTCTCACTGTTCAAATAAACGTACCATTTCTCTGCCAGTGGGCAAACGTACAAACTCAGCAGGGGATCAAATACTTCTTTCCCTCACTGTGTGTGTGTGTCTATATATATATATATATATATATATATATATTTATATAGATCATTACTACACCGGACCTGTCCACTGTCTTCAACATCTCTGACTGAAAATCATCCACCCCTGCAGCAGTTGTGTGCACCAGCGTGTCCCAGATTTACCTCCATGCTGTCTATCAATACCCTCTTCTACATAGCTTCTTGTAGTAGGCTATATGAACATTATCCATTAAGACTCATTGTCCAGACCCTCACTAAGTACAAGGTAGAAATCCTTATGGAGGTTAAATGAAATTACTATCTCATCAAAGCCTTTGCTAGAGACTCCCGAGCAACCTGGAAGGCTCTGCTGTGTTTACCAGGTATATCTGGCCAGCGCCCTCTGTGACAAATCCAACATGCCACCAAGTGCAAGCCTCTCTTTAACCAAGTGTCTAAAACAACGGTCTTACACAATCACAGATGACACAATCACAAAATCATTCATTGACCATTGTTCGGGGAGCTCTAGTAGCAAGTAGGGCTGAATAATGGATCGAATTGTTTTGTTATTGCAATGACTAATTTACACAATAAACATACAGCTGATATAAAACTTTTCTCCTTTCCCCTGTACGCTACACTATATTCTGAACGCTGTGGTTCTGTTGTAAGGACATGGTAGTGTTTGTAATAGTTTTCTGATTGCTGTACATCTTCTCTTCCTTTGGCCTTTCAGGGAGGAACTTGAGGATGACAGTGCTACGAGCCAGTCCAGTGAGGCAGACTCACTGCTCACACCTGAACATCACCTGGATGCGTCATCACTAACACAGGTGAAGTAGAGCAGTACATCTTCAATCAATATCATCATCTCTTCTATGTATAATGTATGATATTGACTGTGATATAATAGCTTCAGGGGCATGCTGGCTTAGTGGTTAGCATGGTTGCCTCACACCTCCGTTGTTGGGGGTTCGATTCCCTCCTGTATCTTTTCTGCACGGAGTTTGCGTGCTTCCCCTCTGCTTCGGGGGTTTTCTCCAGGTACTCCAGTTTCCTCCCCCAGTCCAAAGACATGTGCTGTAGGCAGATTGCCATCTCTAAATTGTCTGTAGTGTGTGAATGGGTGTGTGTGATTGCCTCACCATCCAGGATGTCTCCTGCCTTGTGCCCCAAGTTCCCTCAGATAGGCTCCAGTCTCCCCAGCGACCCTGTGTAGGATTAATGGTATGGGCAATGGATAGATGGATTTAATAACCTCATATTTCACTGTTAAACGCAACTGGAAATATATACAATACTATGCAAAAGTCTTGCAGGAAATGCTGTAAGACAAATATGTCTTCAAAAAATACTTAAATGAAATGTTTCTATAATAGGAAAAAATATTATAAGCTAAACAAAGTCAATATTTGGTGTGGCAAAAAAGAATTAGTAGTCTTGGGTACAATTTGTGCAGTTTTTAGTGAGACTCTGCCACTGACTGTTGCTGCCTTCATGACATTGTTTTGTCTGAAAAGTGGTATGTTACGTAATATCTTGCTTTCGACATGCAAACATTTCTTTGTAAGAAATTGTGGCTGATATTGACACAAATAAAAGATCAAATTTGAATGCATTTATTTTGTAATGGCAACAAATAGAACCACTGCAATATCCAGATATCATTTTATTAATATGTTGTTATTTAGTTATTATATTATTAACACATTATTGAATTATTATTCAGTGTCATAAATGTTTTTCATGGCAACGTTATTAACATGGAACGATTGTTTGATGGTATATTGTGCCTTCATTGATTGGGTTAAATCCTCCTGAAATGCACGAGTGCATCACATTTACCAATTTATAAATACAGATGAGAAAAACAATTGTGAATTTATTTCGTATTCCTCATCCATCGGAAATTGCAGCACGTGACGTGCGCAGCACACAGGCATTAATTTTAACCCACGTATCAGAACACGTTCAAGCCAGCCATGGCTTGATAGAAACCCGAGTGCATGTATATACGGCAGTTCACAGTAACAGCCCTTCGGATGGATATGCTACGGCTCTGCTGTGAATTCTGGAAAGTCTGAAAATGTTGAGAAGTAGTGTATTATGGGCTGTTTCTGTGAAGTTAAGATATCAATAAAATAATCAAATCCTTAAGGAAAATATAAATGCTTGTAATGACAATCAAATCCATATAAATTAATCAGAAAGATTTCTTTGAGATTTCCACTCTAATTTAGCTTTAATTTTCTTTCTATTGGTGAATGTTACTTATGCAGTATTATTTTGCTTCTGGCTTTGGCACTTATTTTAAATGCAGGGAGCTGGTGTTAGAAGATACCTGCTACTTAACTGGATGGAATGAAGACACTTGTAGGATAAAGAAATATGTGTGAATGTATCTACAAACAGTTCAGTAGCTACTAGTAGCTACAGTAGCTACTAGTAGTTTTCTGTCAGTTTTTGAATGCAACTGTAATGCAGTCGTTTCCCTGATGCTGAGCGCTCGGCTCTGTTTGTTCCATCATGCCAGAAGCAGCTCCACTGTTAATGGGGTGGTCATGGCTAACTTTCAGAGTACGTCGCGCTCCAAAGTCAGTTGGCCAATAGAGATATAAGGTGAATGCCTTCTTCTAAGTCCCACCCTGTAACAAATGTGAAAAGTCAGAAGCAAAAGAAAGATTCCAGAAGCAAAAAAATACAGCATCAGTGAAATTCGTAACCTAGAAAAGATTTAAGAAAACTAGTGTGAATTAGAAGTAATCGTTTTTTGAAAAATGTATTTCGATTTGGTTCATAATATTTGCATTTGTTAAATATTTTTTACATTTTGATAATTTAGATCTTGCATATGGATTTTATTATTTTATTTGAAACTTTTGGCACAGCATTAACGCCATATATTTTGATTATTATTATTATTATTTTCAAATTCAAATGAGACGAACGACACGTGCCGTAATGGTTTCTAACGATTAGCTTTTCTTTTTGGACTAAACGGGTTGCTGGTAAGCCTGCGTCAAGGCAGTTAGGTTTCCATTCGCATACGTCGTGCTCTGTATGCTACTATCTCTGGTATTATACTATATCAGGTTATAAAACCAAAAGTATGTGGACACCTAACCATAACAATCATACTTCCTTGTTGAACATCCCATTGTAGAGTTTGTCCCACCTTTCCTCCTATATCAACCTCCACTGTTCTGGGAAGACTTTCCACTTCATTTTGGAGCGTGGATGTGGGGATTTGTGCTCATTCAGCCACAACAGTATTAGTGAGGTCAGGCACTGGTGTTTGGTGAGGAGGCCTGGCATGTATTCAGCATTCCAATTCAACCCTAAGGTGTTCAGTGGGGTTGAGGTCAGGGCTCTGTACAGGCCACTCGAGTTCTTCCACTCCATCCTTGGCAAGACAGGTCTTCATGGACATCACTTTGTACACAGGGTTATTGAGAGGATGAAACAGGTTTTTGGCCCCTTAGTTCTAGTGAGGGGGAAATCTTAAAGCATGCAAAGTTTTTTTTCTTCTTCGGCTCACAAGAGACAAATAACTGGGGCTCTGTTTGGGGTTTTAATCTAAAAATACAGCTCTGGGGCTGCTTAAAAGCTTTGCATGCGGTCATGTATTTGTGGTTATGCAATTAATTTGTAAGAATACAGTAACTCTTGTGTAAACCTTTGCATCCATGGCTATTATCTCCACTTCCATAATTAGAAAAATAATATTTGAACTTTGTACAGTTCTAACACTGTGACTGTCAACTAGAGCTGCTACAACTAATTGATAAAATCGATAATAATTGATCATTAAAATCATTGTCAACGAATATCATTATGGATTAGTTGGTCTGCGTGCTGCATGGGGTGCGTTTACTTATTATGTTACTTCTGTTCTGAAAACACGCATTGGAGAGTAAATACATTGTGTCCCAAATGAAGTGAATACATTTACACTATGCACTGTGTACTCTACCGTCTAGTGTTTGAATATTAGAAAAGTAATATCATCTCAAAAGGAACACTCACATATTTTTTACTAACCAGAAGTATAAGCCGCTTCCTAGTCGATGGCGCATGACGTCATTCGCATGTAATGTGATGCCGCTAGCGTTAGCAGATACCCAGAGTTACAGACAATGTCTTTCTTCAGTTTACTCTTTATGTCAACATTACCTTTTATAAAAAGTAATGCATAAATATTATTATAATATAAACTTATATATAATATTAACTAATATATAAGTATTTATGCATTATTTTTTATGGTTGCACCAAATCAGCACTGAATTAATCTACAGTCCTAAATGAATAATATATATTCTGGTGTGTGTCTGTATGCATTGGGTTCTTTTCAGTCTTATATAATTATAAACTATAAACTATAAAATATATTTGTGTCAAGTTTTAATCTGGAGTTTATTTTTGTAACACTCAGTTTGTGGATTTTATTTTAAACAACTAAAAGAATGGTACTGAAAGTTTGCCCCCCCCCATCTGATTAATCAAAAAATTTATAAATAAATAAAAATAATCGGCCAACTAATTGATTATGAAAATAATCGTTAGTTGCAGCCCTGCTGTCAACAGTGACTTTTGAAGCATGTTAATATCTCAGTAATATTCTTGTAGTATTTGTGTTTATGAATGTGTTTAGGTGTGGCTGGAGAATGGCTTAATGGCTTGAGTCTATAAGGAGCACTCAGTGAGGCTTATTTGAATTCACACACGTCTTATCCTGCAAAATTGCCACAAAGTTATGTTTGATAAATTTTATTTCATCACACAAATCCTAGATTTCACAGATCACTGTTTAGTCCTGATCACTAGCAGCTGCATAGGCCTTTTCTTGCACTTCAGCGCTTTTCAGTTATATATTTCAAATAAACATTAACAGTCAGTAGTAAATAATATACTACAGTAAGCAGTAAATCTTGTTCCCTTGCTTTCCCGTTTTGACTTAGGTTTTTCAGATGATTAACTCGGTGAGAATTTTACACTCTTATACAAAGTGACTTACAGCTGAAACAGGGTATAATCCTGAGCAGCTGGCAGCTAAGGGTCTTGCTTAGCAGCTCAGCAGTGGTTCTCTGGCAATATTGGGATCTGAGCTCACAGTGTTACGATCGTCTGCTCAGAGCTGTAACCACTGTGTCACCATAGCCTTCAGGGACATTGAGGTCTTGTACTTGGATTTTGGAGTTATTTTAAACACTGTTCCTCCCTGTACAGACAGCTTGGTAAGTGGGCCAGCATCAGCCAAAGTTAAGCCCATGTCTGCTTTTCCGCCAAGGTTGTTGCGTCAGCAGTACAAACGGCCTGTAGATGTGTTCATCATGAAACTGTGTGTTTCAGAGTTAAGACCACTCTGAAACACACAGACTCTGAAACACACCCTTTTCCTCAACTTTTTATATACACCGTATGTGAACCCATATTTAGTCTGTGTTACCTTTCATATTTCTACTGGCTCAGCCAGATCATGTGGTTTTGTTCATTACGATATGAAGTATACTAAGTGGCTATAATTCAGACCTCAGTAGTCTAATAAAGTGGACCTCATTTAACAGCAGTATCCAAATTAAACCAGTGACACCAAAGGTTCTTATTGAACCCTATATTTTTTAAATATTTTTCAAAATGTTTCCAATTTATTAGTCATATTGCCAACCTCATTCTAATATCTTCTCTGCTGTATGGCACAGAAAGAGTTAACATTGCAGTGGGCAGGACTGGTGGGGTGCGGGGAAAGAGGGAAGGAGGGGGTGAGGGTGAACATGCTGCTGTCTCGGTTCCATTAGCATTATAGAAGCAGTGGAGGCTGGAACAGTGCAGCCAGAGTGAGCCAATGAGGTACTTTCAGCGATCACCTCTATTCACACTATCGGCTGAAAGCTGTAACCAGGAAATCTAATACGGATGCATATCCCTCTCTTTCTTTCTCTCTCTGTTTTTCTCTCTACATTAAGGCACTGGTACACTCGGAGCAGGACAGG